ACAACATAGGTTGTTTATGTCATTACCATCAACCACAATTCCTGGCAAATCAATGAAAGATCTCCTTATATATTACCTTCAGATTAGAAATAAAAAGTAGTATGACAGGCTTGTGACACAGATGACTGAAACAGTTTTAAGGATCATTCTATAATCTCTGGCATGCAAAGTTCTGGTTGCTTATTATTTAGAAAAATTAATTCAGTGCAATAATGGCTCTTTCCCAGTTTATTGGTACAGTTCTTTTATTCCAGGCTTATATTTAGGAAAGTCCGGCACGAAACAACTGTGCCAATAGACTGACACAGAGCCATTATAGTACCAGAATGGAAAAATGCAATAAGCAAGATTGAAACTCTTATAGAAGCATCTCCCTTTTAAGCCACGTAGGTAAAATGTTGTAGAACCGATTCTGAACCCAGCACAGGTCGGATTCAGGAAAGGAAGAGGGTGTACTGACGCTATTTTCGCCCAAAGGTAAATTATAAATTTCTGTAACCTATGGTGCCATTTCAATGGGTTGAAATGAATTCTGTCCGTATTCCATAGTTGTGGATTTCAAGCTGTACGATAGACACGGCCAATAAGACACCTTTGGGGGGGGGGGGGAGGGGGGGGGGAGGTGCCTAGTTGACCATGTATCTTAGTGCACTTGTATTCATGGCGAGGCGCAGACGCCGTCTGGAGGTGACAGGTTCAATTCCCGGCACGGTAACTATAGCTTTCATGGCATGGCCTGTCGCTGGGATTGAATCATGCACCCCGGCATTACGAAGCGTTCGCATCGACTTAGCCACAGAGCCGACGTGGCAAAGGATACAAAACTAATTAACAATGTTGTTTGTAGTTCCAGAAGCTAAATGATTCATGTTCACATGTCATGCCACGTGATTTCCACATTTAAATCTGTTGTCAAGTATCTCTGTACTGATAAATGTTTGTTGACATTTGTCTAACTCGATTTACCTTGACCTTACCACACACACACACACACACACACACACACACACACACACACACACACACACACACACACAACTGGAACATCGCGCAGTATACATTGTAATTACTAAGACAGATACAATTATATATTTTTTTTTAATGTAAGTAGATAATGGTTCTGCACAAAGAATATGAGGCGGGACCCCATATCTTCCTCAACACCCGAAGCGGTAAAAGATGTCGTAAAGAAAAAGAAGACAATTGTTCTTAGTTTTTTATTCACCCCGAACACGGGGAATCCGGGAGATCGCCAGAAGTCCAATATTATAGGGGTGTTACCATTTGAAATGAAAATCGACTAACCAGAACACCCCTATGAACTGAACTGAATTTCTACCCCACCAGGACATCACACAAGCGATAAACACCCGATGACACAAAGTGCCACCATGTGGATGAGGATCACCGTGGAGAGGTCCCAGAAACCGCGTTCAGACTTTTGGCCTTATATATGGCCTGCCTATATTGCGGCCCCTGGCAAAAGCCAGAGTAGGGCTTCAAATGACAAAAAATTTCTTCCTAAAAAGGACGAAATTGGATAGCTAACACCCCTATAATATTAGGCGTGACAAGGAACTCCGGGATTTCACTTGTTTGTGGTGAATAATAATTTTGAATAATAACAATAAATAAAAAGCTAAGATAATTTCCGTAAACTGTAAGTGAATGAATGAATGAATGAATGAATGAATGAATGAATGAATGAATGAATGAATGAATCATGTAACGGGATAGGGCAGCTAGTTTTTCTCTTTCACGATTGCTGTCTCATGGATGAGAATCAAACAGGTACAAATCATGATTCGACAACATGAAAGACACTCTACAGTCTACACATTCACGGCATGACAATACCCAGTGGCAGCCAGCGTGCACTGGATCGCAAATTATTCCTCCCTACGCCGCTTCACGGCAGAAGTAGTTAATGATGATGACGATGAAAGACACTCTGCGCCTTCATGGCATGACAATACCCAATGGCAGCTAGCGTGCACTGGATCGCAAATTATTCCTCCCCACGCCGCTTCACGGCAGAAGTAGTTTATGATGCTAACAAATCCAGGAAAAATTTTTCTAAAACCTTTTCAACCGCATAAAACAGAAATGTTAGGACACTCCAGGGTTACGTACCATGACAGTTCGTTCAGTCGGGGCTGCCAATAACTACTATAACTCTAATAACGGCTATATTATATGATTCCGGCACTACATTGATGGTTCCTATCACGGCGTCACCGTTTGGTTCACCAGTGCAATTTTTACGGATATCTCTGGGGATTGTTGCCGAAGCTACAGAGGACTTGCTCTGTGCGACGCTCTCAACAGGCAGCTAACTGTTCTGTGGAAAGAGACTGAGCCATATGGGATAAAACCCGGTGGAATGAAGTCGATTCTCTTACCTTTAACTTTTGATGCAAAGTGAGAATAGCGTCGTATGCGTCACTTTTGTTTCCGTATTTTCTTAGCTGTCAGGTTGACCACAAAAATCTTTTTGGTGCTTCATTAATATCTTACCCTAGATGACGTCATAGGACGGTCTAACATTTTAGAGGGTGGTAAGACTGGGTTTCTCGGCTTTCTGATGCCTTTAACGACTCCAAAACATCTAGAACTTGCTCTAACGCCAACCCACCTACGTCCCACAAGAGAATGCAGCCTAGGTCCGACGATTGCATGCAACCTAGGTCCCACTGTGGACTGGATATTAATAAAGCACCCAGTTTTTACCTTTTTTGGAAGGAGGGGGGGGGGGGGGGGGGTGGCTGTAAAAAAAAATGTCAAGGAACACAGTTAAACACCTACTAGACCAGTGTTTCTCAACTTTTTATACCAGCGGTCCACCAAAACGGGGACTATTGTTTCACTGGCCACCTAACATCTAACCGAACACAGAAACAAAAACAAATGTAGATGACGGTTTATTCGTTAAATTCGATGTAATAAAATTAAAATGTTTGACTAATGTGACATTTGCTGTTACTTACAGGTTAGAAAATCTTATATACGTGGCTAGAGCATTGTGTCTAACAGACGAAGCGCTACAGTAACATACATTCAATTTCTCTGTAGTGTTTTCATTACTACCATTACTAAGAAAGTGTTTTCACTCTGCTATCAATGTCAGACATACACGCTGTCTTCAGAAGACAGAAGGGAAATAGTCACAACATAAATGTATACGTAATATGTTATTTGTAACGAGGAAATATCAACATAGGAACGATGACTTCAGGAGGATAGTCGGCACAGAACCAATACTGAACTTTATACATAGTCATGTCTGTCCATGTAACAAGATTGGCATCAGACAGAGCACCACAGAGAGCAACATTATACAGATACTGCGATAACAGAACCAGAGGTAGACCATGCAAAACATGAACCGCAGAAATATCGGAGACATTGAAAAGTATACGATGCGAGCAGAAGGACCCGTTTCAGAGATCTCTCTTGCCTTGAGGCCGCGAGCCACTCCAGAAGTAGAGAAAAGAAGAAGAAATCGAAAATACCATCAACAATATTACTGGTGTGTAACTCAGAGATGAATATTCGGTTCTATCGTAATAAGCCCCCCCCCCCCCCCCCCCCCCCCCAGATGACGCCAAGAGGCAGTCCAATATGTTATCGGGTGGTAAGACCGGGTTTACCGGCTTTGTGGTGCTTTTAACTACCCCAAAGCTGGACCTAACCCCAACCCACCTACGTCCCTCGAGGGAATGCAGCCTAAGTCCCACCACTGCATGCAGCTTATCTACCACCCCTTGAAATATTGGACTATGTAAAAAAAAAAACGAAAGAACCGAATATTCTTTTCTTGTTACATGATTAGTCAAAAAATGCGACCGAACTGGACTTTTCGGCGGCCCACCAGCGGGGTCGTGGCGCATAGGTTGAAGAGCACCGTACTCGACACTATGGTCTACTGCCAACTTACCAACAACAAACAGCTGTTTTCTCCTTTGGGGAAAGCAAGCCTGCTAAAAATAGACTCTTAACAGAAGGGAAATCACGACCCTCTCTGGACAGGTGATTCGTTAGCACTGAAGACGATTTTATTGATACTTTGCACATATATAGTGAAATTTAAGAATTAGAGGTTCACTTGCATTGATTTTAAGTAGATTACTAAGAAAGCCGGCTCCATAATAGATCGTTTAGAGTTACTAATGGACCTGTTGATACAGAGGGGCGTGGTTTCCCCCTAACTTTGTGTGTTTTTCGATTCTTTGAGCAGCTAGCTGAAAGTTACAGTGACTCATTCACAATTTCACATCGGACAGCAGATTACTTTGTAACCGCATAACCGTTTGGGGCTCTTGCGGCAGCCTGGCCGCCAAAAATAACAGTTCAGCCTCCAGACATTATAAATAGGGTGTACATGACTGCCTCCCCAAGTGATAACACTACCCTGGTATACCCGGCAGTATGAGGTGCAAGGAGTCCATATGTATATGTCAGCATCTATGTATATCAAACATATATGAACAAATATATAAGTAGTAGTAGTGTAGTAGTAGTAGTAGTAATTTTTCTAAAAATTTCCTGTTTAATCCTCAGGGTTTTAACTGGGGATATATAGTGGTAATTGAGTTCGCAGAGTATATATATATTTGTTATTTTAAATTGATTTATCTTGTTATTATTTATATGGCCAAAATGTAATTTGTATTGTTTCATATTTTGTTTTTCTTGTTCTTCTTCTTTCGTTGGCTTGAAATAGATTATTTGTATCTGCAGTGTCTTCTTGAGTACCATGGTTACCAAAATAAAGCCATGTGTGGTGTGTGTGTGTGTGTGTGTGTATATATATATATATATATATATATATATATATATATATATATATATATATATATATATTTATTTATTTATTTATTTATATATCTGCAGATTTGAACACTCAAGTATGCTGATCACTTCACTACGACCATCCCTACTTACACTCGAAATTTAAAAAAAAGTCTCTCTTCTTGCCTTTAAGCTGGACTTGACTGGAAATGAAGTTCAAAACTGTCCGAGAAGGACAGCAGGCGGTTGTCTTCAATCATTATGGTCAAGGAAAGTTGATTGTGGGACCAGAACGAGTAAGTAGTTCTTATCAATATTTAACAAACACAACTTTAGTCTTCTGCTTATTTAACTCTTGGAACTGCTTCTTTCAGTCATTTAACTGCAGGTGTCTTTCCTGTAACTACTTGTTTTGCTCCTAGAACTGTTTGTGTCAGTCCAGGAATTGCTTGCTTCACTCCAGGAACTGCTTGCCTCTTTTTTGCCCATTTAATCTCTTGGAACTTTTGTACAAGTTACCTAAAATGTTTCAGTATTAATTTTAGAAATAATTTATTGCATAATTTAAAGCTAAAAAGGGTTAGTTAAGAATCAGTAGATTGTAGTTATTTTGGATCTAAAAAACAAATTACATTTGGTGAAGTAAAAAAAAAAAAAATAGCTTCTTAATGAGGTAGTTAGATTTAATATTTGTTAATGAATTAAGGAATTGTCTCATGTAAACTAAAAGGAATAAACTTGTGAATCTTGCCAGGTTTTTCTCTTTCAAGAACGTTTTATTCCATTGCGAACATACACAGCAGGCAGATATGAATACGTAAAAATTCACATGAACAATGGATCAGTTATGCACAAACCAGGGTAAGATATATTCTTATGTTCTGTTTTAAGATTTAAATGTTTAGGACTCGTTAATTAGAATAACAGCCACTTGCCCTGACAGTCAGAAATGACTGTCACAAGTAAATGTTAAAGAGCCTCATTTGGATGTGGAGGGCAAGTGGAAACCATCCTATTTTCTACACAAGCTCTCATACATTATTAAATGTTAAGGCATTACCTGATGCAGACTGCAACAGTGATCATGTCTTATTTTGCATGAAAAAAATTAACACTAAAAAGAGGAAACAGGCAGGGAAAGACTATTAGGCTTAATAAAGATATTATCATATCGACTCAAGCAATTTGAGACAGACTCAGATTAATTGTGAAAATTGGTACAGTGCAATATCAGAAACACAAGCTGTGATGAACAGTGGGAAATGCTGAAAGATTTGATCCATCGAATGAGCTCAGAAATATTACAGGACAGAAGGCTAAGAAGAAATGGATGACTGAAGAAATCTTGAAGTTGATGGATAACATGAAGCAAAACAAAATTGACAAAGAAGAGTATCAATAAATCACAAAGTAAAAGCTAAGTTTAGAAAAGCAAACACTATTGGTTAAATGAACAGTGAGAGAAAGTAGAAGTGAATATTATAATTACCCCAAATATGCACAAGCAGATAAGTGATTTAGCTGGCAGAAAGATAAGTTCAACATGGGATGCTTGAAATCTTTTGTTTAGGAGTGTTGATCAAGAACAATTTTAGTAATCCATTTTAGATTAAGACATTAAGTATTATCATTATTTGTTCATTCATTTATTCACTGCCCTGTTGCGCCAGTATATAACACATGGGGCTCGCAGTTAATTCCTCCATTCCATTCTATTATGTGCAGTCAGTTAAATATCATGGATGGGATCCAGACAAGCAGTAGCCACTCTCATCAATGTTTGTTTAAGGGTTTCTTCTGGGCACACTAACATCCTTCCATTTATTTCCTTCTATTTTGATTCTTTGCTGGTTTCTTCTCAGGATGTGTCAAATATAGCGCCATTTTCTCTCTCTTAAAACTGTTGTTACTAGTGGATACCCTGACATTTGTCTTATTTCTTCACTCGTTTTGAATTCGTCCCATTTTATGTTAATCTTTTTCTTCATTTTATCATTATACTGTTTATTTTTCATGAATCTTGATCCTTACAGTAGTGTCATCTCCCCATGTGGGTTTTGGGGCCCTCTTATAGGGAAAACAAGAATAGACCCACTGCCTACCCAAAAGCATGTCATAAGAGTCGACTAATTGGGAGCTTCTTTCAAAGTCGAAGTGCATCTGCCTGGGAGGCAAGGAACCAGCAGTCTGCATACAAATTAGTCAGATCTGTAAAATGGATGCACACACAACACTCAGGTTCTGGAACAGGACTGCAGTCCAGAAGTGGATGAACAGCCAGAACTTTCCACCAGAGTTTACAGCTGGTGAATGTGAAGAAGAAGACGAAGAAGAAGTAGTGTCATCACTGTTTAGTTGCTGTAGTATTTCAAATATTGCTTTGTGGGTGAAAAGGAAAGGGGGGGGGGGGTAGGGGGAGGGAACAGGGTGTAAAAACACATCGTTCTTGCCATGAATCAAGCCAAGTCTACAAAAACCAAAGGCCTAATTAATAAACTCAGAGATATTCTGCGCTGATTCAAAAGAGCAAAAATTATTAATCCAGTTTTTGCATAAAATCTTAATTGCGTTTTGATTCATCTTTAACAGCCCTTGCCAAGTGTTTGGAAATCCACTGGAGAGCAGTTCCTGCAGTGTAGAATCAGCCCAGTGTATTGATGGCAACCATCTCCTGGTGGTGTACAGAAGATTAAAGGGTGGAGAAGCAGAAAGAAGAATCATTCAGGGACCTGCAGTTTTTGTGCCCGATGCAGAAGACTGGTGAGATCTTTTTGTTGGTTGCGTTTTGAAATAAATAGCTATGTAATATTATTGTAAAAGTAAAAGTAAAGGTCTCTATTCACACCTTCATGCATATTGGACATTTAGGGTTACACTTATATTTAAAGACCAATCGGCACTTGGTGGGTAATAAGGTCAGCATCACGGCAGCTGCCTTTACCTTCCAGGACTGCACCTGGTATCCACTTAACTCTTTGAGTCCCAGAAGGTTTAGCATCACAGGCCCAGAGGGTAGTAGAGAAAGTTAAAAAATCGGCGCATCATGCGTTCATTGGGCTTTTAGGTAGGAACCTATGAACGCATGATGCGTTCCTTGGGACTCAAAGAGTTAACACTACAACATGGCGACTCTTATAGTATTATTGGGTAGCACTAAATTGTGAAATAAAGGGATTGAGGAAGTGAGGACATCTTCTTTTGTCATCTCACTGATACCAGGTTGTAGCCCACCAGGACATCACACAAGCGATAAACGCACTGTGACACAAAGGATCACCCATGCGGAAAAGGATCACCCATGGAGTGGTCCCAGAAACCCCTTTCAACCGTTAAGGCCATATCTATGGCTAGGCCATATTTATGACCCGGCTATATTCAGAGCACATGGCAAAAGCCAGGGTGGAGCTTCAAAATAACAACAACAAAAAAAAGTGCATCCTATGAGGGGACGATGATTATTGGATATCTTCAAACTAATGCAAGTGACATCAAAACTGTTTAGAATTCTGTAGACATCTGTCATCATTACCTTTATATTATTTGAAACACAGCCTGTTGAGAAAACTTGATAAGGATATAATAATAATGTTCTAGTTCAGGAACCTACAGGGTCAAAAAAAAATATTACAGAGTGAAGTATAAATTATCGGGAGACACGGGTAGAGCTGCATAGGATAGCAAAAGATAGGATGACTTGGCTCGAGTTAGAAAATGGCTGCAAAAACCAGCATCCACAAAGCACATGCCAAGGCTGGCACTAGATGCCTCTTCAAAGCCTGATTCTGAAAGACCGAACAGGATCTGAAAAGAAAAAAAAAAAGAAAAAGAAAAAATAAGGAAAACAAATAGAAACAAATAAGAATATTGAAGCAGACCTACAAATACTTGTAATCACTTATTTGAAAGAGAATTTTAGTGACAGAGATAAATGGGGGTAGGTTATAGGCCTATCTACAACAATAAACCCCAAGGGCTTGGAAGGCTGAAGAAAAAGAAGAAGACTATACTGAATGAAATGCTATTTATGTTTATAGGTGTCATGAGTTCAAATGGCATGGGACAGATCCAGCCAACAAAACTCGAATGATTCCAGGACTCAACAAATTTCAACAGCTTCCTACCATCCCTGGTAACTTCTATTATAATGTAGGTAATCAGTAGTTATGAAGTGTTTAGCATATGTAACTGGATGTGTAAATGTTTAGAATATGTAATTGGATGTATATATGCTTAGAATATGTAACTGGATGTGTATATATTTAGCATATGTAACTGGATGCATAAATGTTTAGCATATGTAACTAGATGTGTATGTGTTTAGAATATGTAACTGGATGTGTAAATGTTTAGAATATGTAACTGGATGTGTAAATGTTTAGAATATGTAACTGGGTGTGTATATGCTTAGAATATGTAACTGGATGTGTATATGTTTAGAATATGTAACTGGATGTGTATATGTTTAGAATATTTGTTTAGAATATGTAACTGGATGTGTATATGCTTAGAATATGTAACTGGATGTGTAAACATTTAGAATATGTAACTGGATGTGTATATGTTTAGAATATGTAACTGGATGTATATGTTTAGAATATGTAACTGGATGTGTATATGTTTAGAATATGTAACTGAATGTGTATATGTTTAGAATATGCAGGTGGATGTGTATATGTTTAGAATATGTAACTGGATGTGTATATGTTTAGAATATGTAAATGGATGTGTAAATGTTTAGAATATGTAACTGGATGTGTATATGTTTAGAATATGTAACTGGATGTGTATATGTTTAGAATATGCAGCTGGATGTGTATATGTTTAGAATATGTAACTGGATGTGTATATGTTTAGAATATGTAACTGAATGTGTATATGTTTAGAATATGTAACTGGGTGTGTATATGTTTAGAATATGCAGCTGGATGTGTATATGTTTAGAATATGTAACTGGATGTGTATATGTTTAGAATATGTAAATGGATGTGTAAATGTTTAGAATATGTAAATGGATGTGTAAATGTTTAGAATATGTAACTGGATGTGTATATGTTTAGAATATGTAAATGAATGTGTAAATGTTTAGAATATGTAACTGGATGTGTATATGTTTAGAATATGCAGCTGAATGTGTAAATGTTTAGCATATGTAACTGCGTGTGTATATGTTTAGCATATGTAACTGGATGTGTATATGTTTAGCATATGTAACTGGATGTGTAAATGTTTAGAATATGTAACTGGATGTGTATAAAAAGACAGAAGTGAAAGGTTATGTTAGATCTGTTCTAATGTAGGAAAGGCTGTAAGAAAAGCTTGGAGGCAGTTTGGAATGTCAAAACTAGAATAAATGGTGCGAATACATTGGATGACAGGAGTATCTAACAGTAATTGCCAGGCAAGAGTTGGTGAAAGCAGGACAAATTCTTCTTCCTTTAAGCTGTCCCTTAAAACCATGTTTGGCACATTTTATTGTGGTTTACAGCTAGGATGCGACATTTATACCTTGGAGCCCGAAACATCAGATTTCAGCAGAACTAATTACGTTTTTTATGTTTGGTAGATGGCAGTGGGTCTGTTCTCCAAATAGGGCCTCAGAACCTACAGAGAGAATACAAACTAATAAATTGATGCTAGGTAAAAATAACATAATGGGATGAATTCATGAGGGTTGAAGAAACAAGAAAAATGTCTGGGCAACCACTAGTATCAGTAGCTATAAGACAGAAAAGATGGCGGTACATTGGACACATCCTCTGAGAAGAAGTGAGCAGAGAATCACCACATAGGAGAAAGTCAGGAATTGAGGAAATGAGGATGTCCAATAGAAATCCTGAAGTGAATGTTGATGAGAGAAGCCAAAGGTGCTAGATTGTATTCGGTCCATGATATTGAAGTGATTGCATAGGATAGAAATCATGGAGAACTAATGGTATTGGTCATAGTCTGGTTCAGACAGTTACTGGTGCCATCAGAATTGAAACTCTTCGTTTGCTGCTGAAGATGGGGATGGATCACTTCTTGGGGTGTCCTGAGTGCTATGATGCTGATTCTTAATTCAAGATTCATAATCTGGTTATATTTCCGTCTTGCTTGTCCCCTGAGTGTACTGAGCCAGCCAGTCCTGCTGGTTACATCCAGGTGCCTCATTCTCTCTAGGCCATAATAATCTTGTTTCGCTTCTGACTCCGCTGCTTGATCCCTAATGGCCTTGACCACATCTGCCCTGTCATGTATCAGTTTACCGCCCAGTGGTGCAGATCCAGCCAGTCTGTCTGCCTGTTCATTCCCCAACACGCCAGCATAGCCTGGAGAAAAGATCCAAAGTATGCTCACTACCTGTGACCTTCCCAGTGAAGTTTGCCACTCTGCTCGAAGCATCCCTGCTCTGAAAGGTAAACATCTCCATGCAAGTTTTGGGAGTTCTGCTTTTGGGGAAAAAGAACAAACCCACGGACCCCTAACTGTGGCACAGTCGTGCCTATACATCCCCCAAGAAATAGATGTGCCTAAGTCGGCCAAGCTGAATGAATATGGTTCGTATCTCTCTTCAATCGTACTCATGAACAAGGCCAGTGATGTAACAATTACACAAGAGCTGTTTATTTACAATATTCCAGTCATAGAGGCTTCATAAATTCAATAGTATATGAACACTGTATTATCTGGATACAGGCTATTCGTATGACTCTCTACGAGTTCCTTAACGACTGTTCTAGCTAAACTCCAAGTTTAACATATACCTTCTAAACGAAGTAAATCACTAGTTTTCTCCTAACCTGTCCTATCAAGCGGTTCCGTGGCTAACTGTCCTCTCCAGCGGTTCCGGGGCTAACTTTATTCCCCCGCTTTCCCGCCTTTCTCACGTACCTTCTCCATCACTTCTCTGCTCTGAAAGGTAAACATCTCCATGCAAGTTTTGGGAGTTCTGCTTTTGGGGAAAAAGAACACACCCACGGACCCCTAACAAGCATATCATAAAAGGTAACTAATTAGGGCTTTGCTGAAATGAGATATGATGGGTTGAAAGATGCAGGTATTGCAGCCTAGCTGTAAACCACAGCACACCGTGCCAGTTATTCTTTCAACCTTGTAACCCTGGAAAGTCATGAACCTGGCATTTCAATCATTGCCACATTTGAGTAAAGGCTACGAAACTGGAATATCTCCAGTGACATGTTTCTGAGAAGCATAGATTAACATCACTGGTTCTGTTCATGCCTTCATAGGATTTAGGAGGCCTGGATATGAATATATTTACTAAAATAAGCATTTAGAGGGTTTTTCTTGAAAACCAGATAGCTGTCATTATGTCAGATGATAACCAAATGTCTGTTTAAAGTTATGTTTACATCATATTTTCCCATTTTCCTTAACCAGATCTGCTCCTAATTCTTCATTCACACATTCTTACACAAGTTATTTCCTTTAACCTCATGTCCTTTATCAATATTTTTTCATAGATGGTCTTCAGAATGTCTCCCTTGTACAGTACGAGTTTCCCCCCCCCCCCCCATCTATTGGTTTTTTAACCACAATATCCACTCTTGTATTCTCTCATTCCCAGCCAATTATTCCATGGGATTCCCTGCAATGCTGACGTACAGATGGTAAGTGATAGAGGTCATGGGGTCACTGCATCACCTGGTACATATTTGTTTTAGGCTCCAGGAAATTTATTTAATTTAATACTACACTCTTTTTGTGTTTACTTATTACTACCTTTATTTATCTGTATACATTTTGAAAAAGAAAAAAAAATTGTAAAAGAATTATTACTTACTTGTGTAGGCTGTTGTTTTAAGCAACAGCGGCCACCCCCCGGGTAACAGCTTCGACGGGCTGGCTAAACCAGGAGAGGGTAGCCGACCTGGTTCTTAACCACTCGGTGATTGGGATATGCCTACCCTGCATGCAAAGACTGGACTTGGTGGATTGTGCATATGAAACCTGCTAATGGTTCAACAGACAAAAGGGCATTTACCAGCGGGCTCTGTGGAGAGCTTCGAGCAAGGCAGGGCACTTAAGACGCATTGGTCATCTACGTCCATTTTTAATCGTCCTGCCATTGGATCAAAATGGACACAGGCGAGAGAGTGAGGTCAACGAATTAGGCAGCTCTTCCTCACTTAAATCCAAGTCCTTGCGCAAGTCACTTTCATCCAGCTATCACTTTCGATGAAAGCGGTCTTCATCACTCGTGATGGACGCACAGCAACATGTTTTAAGCAAGGGAATGTTTAGGGAATTTCCAGGGGTTCATTACCCATTTCTTTTAATGGTCATGGAGCGAAAGTGTTTAGAGACAATAAGAAAAAAATGGTAAAGTCAGCTAGCATGACATTCCTGAGCTTTACGCAAAGGCTGAAAGGTGCAGATATTGCAGCCAATCTGTAAACCACAACACAGCATGCCATCTATACTTTTAACTCTGTCACCCAGAACAGCTATGAACCTGGCATTTCTATTATTACATTCCGCATTTAGTACAGCTTGGACTATACAAGCCTAAATTTAACACATTTACTCAAAAAACCTTACGGTATGGAAACGCATCTATGACTGGTTTTTCAAAAGTTGTTTCAATGTTCGTGTTCACAGGTTAGAGAGGTTCGTACAAGTGACGATACCATGCTAACTGTCAAGGTCATGCTTTTTTACAAAATGGAAGATGTGCTAAAAATGGTAAAATATGTCTGTCTTCCTATTCTTTACTAAACTTTATTTCTCAAGGTCAGATAAAGTAAAGTAAAGTAAAGTCTGGAGATGTGAACCAGCATCACTGCACACCGTTATCAACCATAACTGCTCTGCCACCTGTATGGACAGCTGATAAGAAACTGTCCGCCTGTGTCGCTGTCCGCACGAAACTACGTAGCTACAGTGACGTTCCTCCATTTTCCCCAGAGTATTAACTCTGGTACCCATTACCTAGAGGCTGGGTAAACCCTGGGAACCGCCTGGTTTTGAACACCGGCCATGGGCTGCAGTGAGTCGCAGCTGGATTTGAAAGCGAGTCTACTATTGACTGCACTAACGCGATGAGAAGGTGAGGAAATCCTGCAGTCCATGCTTAGGAGTCTGTCTGTCTGCTCCACATTCACAGATGGCAGATTATTTCATGCTTATTTTGTGTGTGTTCTAAGACCACAGTGTCCTGTCCGAAGCCCAAAAACTGCTTGTTCTTTTTCCTGTTCACTTTGTTTATGCTGTCAGTCTCCAGTGAACAGTCTGTAGTCTCTATTCTGTGTCCTCCACTCTCTCTTGAAGAACTGTCTTAGGACTGTTTTGGTTTCTCTGTAGTGTTGCGGTGGATGAGGTTGTGGAAGATTACTTCCAACTTTTAACATCTCATCTGCTCTCTCCTTTCCTGGAATATCACATTGCACTGGTATCCATTGTAGGACCAATTCTGCTTTCCTAGAAAGTAATCCGATGCTGTTACTCAGATCTGCAGTTAGTAAGAGTTGCGTCTGTTCCTCAGTGCATTGATATCATGGATGGAATCAAGTCCAGCATCTTTGGCCTTCTCATCAGCTTTCACTTTAGTGCTTCTCTTTGACATTCTCCTTTGCTCAGTTCATTTGTTTCCAAGGTCAGTTAGCAACAAGAGCATTTTTTTAATTATGTGAACTCCAGGCAGTTCTTCATTAATTATTTTATACTATATTTCTTTTATCATACTGAGTTTAGTTTCAAGAATCGATATAACAGCACTCGGAGCATACCCATATGTGCTCCATCCCTATCTTCAGCAGCCAGCAAAGAGTCTGAACTCTGATAGTACTAATAGCATTCTGACTGTATGTGTGTCTTGCCTTTCCTCAACTCTATACTTTATCATACTAAAGGTAAAAGTGAAGGTGAGAGGATCCACTACATTGCAGCCTGTTTTATCTCATGTGGCTCAGTCTCTCTCCACAGAGCATCGCACAGTGCACCACCTCCCTAGCTTTGGTGATGATCCCCAGGGATGCCTCTAAAAATGCACTCGTGAACTTAATAGCACCGCTGTGAAACAAGCAGCTTGTCCACTTCGCCACAGAGACACTCTTCTTGATCATACTTTAAAGTTATCAATGTTTAAGTCTGCAGGCAGTGAAAGAATACAATTATGGCACAGGTTAAGTGAATGTAAGACATTGGATTAAACCGGCTAATGATGAAAACACTATGGACAGATAAAAAGCATAATAAAGATTTCATGAAGGCAAACTCACAAAAAGAACTGATTAACTTCTTCTTCTTCTTCTTCTTCTCCACTTTGTACCTCAGCGAAGTGGTCCGGGGGATATGTGACATTAATTAATGAGCTTTGTCAAGAGCACTATTAAGACTGATGTTCATTTCAGTAAGGTGTTCTTGGTGCCATCACTCCATCTTTTTCGAGGTCTTCCACTCGCTCTATACCAGTTGTAACATTTAACTGCATGAGAACAAGACAGTCCACATTTTTTGGTCACTTCTTAGGGTTATAAATATGTCATGGCTGCATAGATATATATCTCATGGCTCTATAAATATGTCATGGCTGCATAGATATATATCTCATGGCTCTATAAATATGTCATGGCTGCATAGATATATATCTCATTGCTCTATAAATATGTCATGGCTGCATAGATATATATCTCATGGCTCTATAAATATGTCATGGCTGCATAGATATATATCTCATGGCTCTATAAATATGTCATGGCTGCATAGATATATATCTCATGGCTCTATAAATATGTCATGACTGCATAGATATATATCTCATGGCTCTATAAATATGTCATGGCTGCATAGATATATATCTCATTGCTCTATAAATATGTCATGGCTGCATAGATATATATCTCATTGCTCTATAAATATGTCATGGCTGCATAGATATATATCTCATGGCTCTATAAATATGTCATGGCTGCATAGATATATATCTCATGGCTCTATAAATATGTTCTGGCTGCATAGATATATATCTCAAGGCTCTATAAATATGTCATAACTGCATAGAAATATATCTCATGGCTCTATAAATATATTCTGGCTGCATAGATATATATCTCATGGCTCTATAAATATGCTGGCTGCATAGGCACACAATGGCTCTATTATGTCTCATTGATATACAATGGCTAAATAGATCAGAATTGCTACATTAAATATAATGTTACATACAATGGCTCTATTATGTCTCATTGATATACAATGGCTACATAGATCAGAATTGCTACATTAAATATAATGTTACATACAATGGCTCTATTATGTCTCATTGATATACAATGGCTACATAGATAAGAATTGCTACATTAGATATAATGTTACATTTAAAGAAGGATGACGGATGTTTTTCATCACATCCAACCTTTTTTATTGGAAATGATACCTGATGTTGATGATGATGCATGCAGTGATCATCGATGGTATTGCCATTCATCATAATGACAATATGAAGAAAGAAACAAAACTATTACACTTCACTGAACAATTTACTGTATACTATGTATTATTTCAGCCTAAAATATTTAAATAATTTATTTTTGTGACTAGTTTTTTTTTTATATCATTAGCTCAGTACATCAAAATAATTTCTTTTTGTTACTATTTTTTCTATCTTTAGCTCAATACAACAAAATAATTTCTGTTTTTTACTTTTTTCTATCATTAGCTCAAAACAACAAAATAATTTCTTTTTGTCACTATTTTTTTCTATCAATAGCTCAAAACAACAAAATAATTTCTTTTTGTTGCTATTTTTTTATCAATAGCTCAATACAACAAAATAATTTCTTTTTGTTACTATTTTTTTTAATCAATAACTCAAAACAACAAAATAATTTCTTTTTGTTACTATTTTTTTAATCAATAGCTCAATACAACAAAATAATTTCTTTTTGTTGCAGTTGTTTTCCCTATCATTGGCTCAATACAATACAATAGAATAATATCATTTTGTTGCTTTTTTTGTGCAAACTAAGTTCAACAAACAAGACCAGTATAGAGTAAAAATGTTAAATATGTGTGGCTGGGGCAAGATAGCAAAGGAGACTATACAACTGAGGGGGAAAACACCAAGTGAAGATTTTCAGTTTGGCAGAGTTTAGATTGAAGGGAAAAAAGACAGAAAGGTTACAAAAAGATTTTATATTGGTATACTCTGGCATAGACAAGACTCAAAATGCAAAATATGTAGCAGGTTTCGTCATTGACCCTAAGATTGTAAATAACAATAATTTGTTTTTGTTACTAATTTTCTATCATTAGCTCAATACAACGATATAATTTCTTTTTGTTACTATTTTTTTTCTATCATTTGCTCAATAGAACAATATAATTTATTTGTGTTACTATTTTTTCTATCATTAGCTCAATAGAACAATATAATTTATTTTTGTTACAATATTTTCTATCATTAGCTCAATACAACAAATAATTTATTTTTGTTACTATTTTTTCTATGATTAGCTCAATAGAACAAATAATTTATTTTTTAAAACTATTTTTTCTATCATTAGCTTAATAGAACAATATAATTTTTTGTGTTACTATTTTTTCTATCATTAGTTCAATACAACAAATAATTTATTTTTGTTACTATTTTTTCTATCATTAGCTGAATAGAACAAATAATTTTTTTTTTTTTTTTACTATTTTTGTTCTATCATTAGCTCAGTACAACTCATGATCCAGTGGCTGATCTTATCAAGTAAGACATTGTATTGACAGTCTGGTTAGATCTTACAAAGCAAATGATTTACAGTAGCCATTACACTTTGTCTATCATCTTCTTTGTTTTCATTTTTACCTACATCCTCCTCATTGTCCTGTTGTGCCATTATATGTCACATAGGGCTCATAGTTTGTTCCCTATTGCATATTTCTTCTTCTTCTTCTCTTCTCCTATTTTGACTTTTAGCATAGTGTAGCGGGGTCCGTGGCTTGGGCGTTGCGAATCTGACTCATTATTCCAACTGCCTTTGAGCCTAGATTACTTGACCACTAGTTTAGGGTGTCTCTGTGGCAGAGTGGTAAATCTGTTCTCCCTCACAATGTAAAGGTCACTAGTTCATTTCATAGCTGCATCATTTGGTTCACAATTGCAATTTTTCTATAGACACCCTTGGAATCGTCACCAGAGCTACAGTGTTTTTGCTTTGTGTGATGCTGTTGACAGGTAGCTAGCCATTCTGTGTCGAAAAATCAAGCTGTAATGGACAAAACCAGGATGCAGTGAAGTGGATCCTCTCAGTTTTAATCTTTTTCTTGTTTTGACAGACAAGACTGCTAGCCACATTATAACTAAAAAATATAAGTAGTTATGGTAAAACAATTACCACTGGCTCCCATAAAAATAAGCAGTTATGATAAAATAATTAAAATAAAACAATATTTTGTTTGTTCTTTCTGAATGATTATGTTTGTTCCGTCTCACATGAAGCAAATGCTGGTTACTTTCAAGGACAGTTAGTGGTGGAGTTTGTTTTTTCTTTTGTGCCTGCACATATTGATTATTGTGCCTGCACATATTGATTATTGTGCCTGCACATATTGATTATTGTGCCTGCACATATTGATTATTGTGCCTGCACATATTGATTATTGTGCCTGCACATATTGATTATTGTGCCTGCACATATTGATTATTGTGTCTGCACATATTGATTATTGTGCCTGCACATATTGATTATTGTGCCTGCACATATTGATTATTGTGCCTGCACATATTGATTATTGTGCCTGCACATATTGATTATTGTGCCTGCACATATTGATTATTGTGCCTGCACATATTGATTAATGTTGCTTCAGTTCATGTACAAATTCATCAAGACTTCTGCAGAAGTGGCTTAGGAATGCATAACAGTCAACTACAGAATCTCTCTGTGTGGGTTCCTGCATAACAGTCAACTACAGAATCTCCCTGTGTGGGTTCCTGCATAACAGTCAACTACAGAATCTCCCTGTGTGGGTTCCATGGCTCCATGGAAAAGGGGGGGGGGAAGGAATAGACCCACTGCCCCCTTAACAAGCATGTGATGAAAGTGGACTAATTAGGGGTGTTTCCTTTGAGGTCAAAGAGCAAATGGCTGAGAGCCAAAGGACCAAAAGTTTGCTTACAAACACAAATAAGCCAGATCTGCAAAACAGATGTGCACACAAAACTCAAGTTCTGCAACAAGACTCAAGTACAGAAGTTGATGAAGAACCAGAACTTTTCACAGGAGTTTATAATCGGTAAAGATTAAAAAGCACCAAAAAAAGTATGGTAGAATGAAACAACTTCCTCTGCATTCTGACATAATTGTGTTGTGCTTTTTTAAATCAAAGCTCCAGTATTTATGCCTTTTGATGAACACATTCAACTTCTGCAGGCATTTTGTTTGGCCTGGGTTAGTATTTCCAATAAAGAAAGATTTAACACTTATCGACATGATGGAAACTAGGCTGTAACAGGATTTAAAACAATGACAATGCACTTTAACCACAATATAATGAAAAGAAAATGTATGGGACAAAGAAAATAAAAAAGTAATCAAATGAAAGGTATGAGACTTTTAAATGATTGTATGTAATCTTTATTTCAGTGCTCTATGTGCAGATGTGATATCTTTTGTTGGACCTCTCACGTATGTAACCTGAAACTTTGAATTCTCAAAGATGAAACTAAGTTGTATTAACTTAAATATTTATTCCTCTAAAGTGATATAAGCGATGGATCTGTTATTAGACATGTGCAAATCTCAACTGTAAAGAAAGTAGTATTTTTGCCCTGAATACAAGTAGTCTGACTTTGGAGGTAACAAAAGCAATGACCTGGATCGATCATTACAGAATGGAGAGAAGGGCGCAGCAGGGAGAGACCAGTGGATCTGGCTGACACTCTACATTCAGAGGAGAGGCATGATGGTCATTTACTTAGACTACTACTGGTACCATCAGCAATGAAACTCTTCACTGGCTGCTGAAGATGAGGATGGACCACTTATGGAAATGTCTAGAGTGCGGTGATGTTGGTTCTCAGCTTAACTCAGCTAAGGGTTATGAATCCAGGTTTATTTCAGGCTTTTTGACAGCAGACTGCTTTACATTGACTTTTATGAATGTATGAGCATCAAAGCATGCAGAAAATGCTGCTGCCACTCCTCTTGGAGATGAGCTGCTTTATGATAAAGCAGTTTGGTGAAGCTCTCTGGGATCAGCTGGACAGTGCAACAGAATGGACAGGGAATCCACACACTGAAAGAATTATTCAATGGAAAGGGGGAGGGAGGGAGGGAGGGAGGAAGGGAGGGGAGTAGAGGTTCTGGAAGATAGTCAGCACTGAAAGGAAAACATAGGCAGACTTTTAATCAGGTTGCAGCTTGTATCATTATTATATTCCCTGGCTACTGAGACAGAGCACGTGTGGAAATGTCCTCAGTGCAGTGATGTCAGTTTTTTATTCATTCATTCATTCAACAAAAAAATGGAAAATAAATGCACATAAAATTGCCTAATAAAACCACTAAAAGCATGCAAAACTCTCCTGTGTGTGCAGTTACCTTCATGTTTATCACAGGGCATTAATTGAAGATGGCCGGCCCATGGATCATGCCAACATTGTCAGTGCCCTTAGAGAGATAGGACGTTCCGAGGATTTTGGAAGCAACGTGTCCACATCACTGCTAAGAATGCGAGAATTGGGAGTAAAGATTGGCACAACCAAGCATGAGAAGCACACCGGACGCACATAAAGTCTTTTCATCCAGCATAGAACTGGCACTATTAACCGCACAAGGCTGATGAATATGTTGAGAGGGAAATCTGAGCACCTATGGATGTGTCCGGAGTGCTGTGAAGCTAATGCAACTAATATAACTCATAACCAACAGCATATAAAATATAATTATGGTTATTAATTTGTGTGCAGGTACGAACAGTTTATAGAAAAAACCAGCCACCTCAGTGACCTGGATACATTTCCTCAGCTGAAAGAGAGAGCAGCAAGAATGGGGTTCAAAGTTGAAAAGGTCGTATTTAGAGGTTACCATGCCTCAGACCAACTGCAGGTTAGCGAGCTACTCAATAGGGGAACCAGTCAGGTGCCTTCTTTACAGTGAAGGTTGGCTGTTACGGACTTTCTTTACTCTGTTTCTGTCAAGCTTATATTCATCCATCTGTTGGTGCATCACTTGTTTTACTGTCAGCCTCTTGCTCGTCTGTCTTCAGATTTTCTCTTCAGTTTAGTTTGTATAAAAGTGTAAAGTTTTTTTTTTTAAGGTCTCTTAAATTTTTTACTGTCTTTTTCCTATTTCAGCAATTCTTGTTTCATTTCCAGTCTCTCAAAACTTCTGTATGTGATTGTTTTTATCTGTATGTGATTGTTTTTATACCTAAATTGATGCCTCTCATTTTTCTGTATAATCAAATTTCCGTAGCCTCAGTTTGACTTTTGATTCATTGTAGTTAAATATTCAGCAGAATTTTTGCCTACTTAGTGTTTAGGAAGGCCACGCATGAACTAAAAACTTATTATTGTGGAAAAAAAATGTAATCTGTCATTTTTTACCCATTATGTCAAGTTGTCTTTAGCCTTAGTGTTTGCAAAGCGAGGGAGTGACAAGGTCAGTTATGACTCACTCAGTACAATTTTTTGGGCTTCAGAGAATGAATTACAGGTACAACCCCTAAAGTCAGGCCTACAAAGTGAGTGACTTCCCATGCCATTCATCCCTGGTCGTGTCGTAGGGCCTGTTCTATGTTGCGGGGTGTCATGCTTAGTGAAAAAAAAAGTGCTCTAATATCTTGTGTTTGAGGAGAAAGTGCGCAAAACTCTTGTTTGTGTAGAGAAGTTTTCCAAGTTTTTGCCTACTAATGCAATATGCTCCAAGCTCTTGTTTTGTGCATTCGTGAGTGTGTGTGTATATTTATACATGTATACAGAAGTGCTGCAGAATGTGAACGAAGATACAGGAGAAGAAGGAGGAAGAAAAATATGCGAAAAACAAGAAGTTGATACAAATCAGTTTGATTGTGAAGACTCAGGTATGTTATTTAAAGCATTCCCTGAGTGGGTTCCTGGAAAACAAGTATAGACCCACTGCCTACCCAAAAGTATGTCATAAAAATTGAAAGTTTCCTTTGAAGTTGGAGTGCTTCTGACTGAGAGACAAGGAACCAACAGTCTGCATACAAATAAGTCATATCGGTAAAACGGATGTGCAGGCAATAGTTAGGTTATGGAACAGGATTACAGTCCAGAACTTTCTGCTGGAATTTACAGCTGATAAACGTGAAATAAAAAGATATAAAGCATTACATCTTAAAAGGAAAAATATCCTTTCATTTTGTATATCGTAAACCAAAAAAATCAACTTAAATATTTTCTTGTTACTATCAAATCAGGAAATGCAAAACGTTGCCATAGAGACTCGCACACAGCTTCGACTACAAAGAGAAATTGAAGATCAAGAGCAGAAACTTTCATGTTTTAAGCTGGACAAATTGCAGGAGAGGAGCTGTCTTGGTAATGGGAAATAAGACAATTATATGTAAATTAGCACATATTTATTATAGCTGCATATATTTTTATATTTTTTTAATGTACATTAGAATGACATTAATGTAAAATCAAATGTGAAAAGTTTATTAAAAAAGAAACCAAAAAAAATAATCAACTCCACTGGAGTAAGATAAAAGTAAAGATCTTTTTACATTTGAGTGTCATGTTAGGCCTATGGGGCTAAACTTATATTTTCTAATAACCTCATTGGGTGATGTGGTCAACATAACGCCGGGTACCTTTACTTCCCAGGACTTTAGCTGGTACATGTTTAAGGCTGGGTCGACTTAGGAGCCAAGGTCGTGCATGAAAAAATCCTGCTAATTGTGGATTTGAACCCATGACTTTTGGATCCGCTGGCGAGCATGTCTCTTTCAGGATGCCACAGACCAAACCTAGATTTAATTATTAATGTTAAATGACACATTAAAATAAACATTTGCATCTGCCTTCTATGGCAGCTGCTGTTCTTGAGAACACCCTCTCATTATCATCATCATGTAGAAGTTCCTTTGCAGAATGTTGCTTGCATCACGGTCTCCCAGAAAGAAACTCTGTCTCTCGCCGGGTGTACTTTCATTTTCAATGAGATACTTAAAGCCTGTGCCCATCTTCTTGTTGGTTGGCTCCGCTCCTTTTTCCTGATACCATGCCTTCTGCTGTAATTTTTCTAATCCACCATGATGCTTGATATGACCAAAATCTTCCTTGAGGTTCAGATCTCTTGAAATGTTGGAATTTCTTCTTTTCTTTGTCCATGGTATTGTGAGAATCTTTCTTTAAAAGCCCCTATTTTCTTTATTAAGGACTAGGAGATAGTCCATGACACATATCTGTATGTTATTACAGGTAAGATACATGCTCTCAAAACTTTATTTTGATTTCCTTACTGGTGCTTAACCATAGACTTTTAATGCTGTTTAAGCTTTTTATTGCTATGGCCATCCTCCTTTTGATTTCTGTCAAACACCCTCTAGAAAACTTTAACTACATCTATAAGTATAGCCAGTTTAAAGTCAATACTATTGACTTCATTGCACTAGGTTTTATCCTATACGACTAGAACATTATAAAGCCCAAACTTCAGAGCAAATGGCTCAACATCTTAGTCTTGGAGACTTCTAGTCTCTCACCTCAAGACAGCTATGCCGAGAACATCATACAAAACATGAACCCCATAGATCCAGGACTTGCACTCATGTACTGAACAATGCAGTCTAGTATAGTTTCTTACACATGACACCTTCAACTACCAATAGTTAGAATGTTTCACTGACTTTACAGAACAAGCAATGGAAATCAAACGGCAAGCACACAGACAGAAAATGTCAGAGTCACAGCACAAACAAAAACTGGAAATGGAAGATCTGAAGCTGAAACAACAACTGGAGCTCTCCAATTTGGAAGCACAAGTAAATTTAGGTAAGCATGTCAGAATCTGTCGGTTCTTAAAAATATTTTTACAGCAAAGGGATTGACTTCTTTTACATATGCTCTTAAAAAAGGTGGTTTACACCTTGTGTTGTGGTTTACAGCTAAGCTATAATATCTGCGATTGTCAGCCCAAAGAGATCCAATGTCAACAAACCTCTATCAAGTCACCTTTAACTCTTTGAGTCCCAAGTAATACCTTGTGTGTAATGACCTCTTAACACATACCCACATGAGTCCTAGGCATTGCATTATGTGTTTACTTATGTCTGGTTACAGCATACTTAAACGTCCGGCCACTTCCACTGCAAAGTTAGCCCCTTATATTGGTTGTATCCCATCTCTCCTCGAGCATTTCCTGCCAAACCTTCTGGTACTGAGAGTTAATGACAGGCTTGTTAGGGGGGCGGTGGGTTTATTTTTTATCATCATCATAAACCACTTCTGCCGTTAGGCGTTGTAAGGAGGAATAATTTGTGATCCAATGCACGCTGACTGCCCGTGGCTATTGTCATGTTATAGAGGTGTAGAGTGTCTTTAATGTTATCAATCCATACTTTTCGAGGTCATCGTCCTGCTCTTGAAGCTGATCTTCTGAGATGTAGTGCTTGTGATGGTATCTGATCTTGCTGCATTCTAACGAGATGGCTAAACTACTTGATCTGCTGTTTCTCAATGAATGAAAAGGCGTTGTTCCCACAATCTGATAGTATTATTATTTACTAGATCTCGAACTGCAAGGTTAGCGGCTTTTCTCAGGCATCTCATCTCGTAAGGGGTGATTTTGCGTACAAGGGCTTTAGATAGTATCCATGTTTGGCACTGGTAGCTTAATGTTATAATCTTTCTCTTTGCACTTATAGTTAGTTTGGATTCTTTATTAAAGTGACAATTGGTATATAAATGCACTTTCTGACATCTGGTTTCTGTTTCTCTGTAAATTCTACCATATTCCTTGATCATACTTCCAAGATATTTAAATTCCCTAACTTGATTATGACAAGAATGATTCAGCTGTATGTGTAGTGGGCCAGTGGTTCTACTAACTTGCATTGTTTCAGTTTTATTTGCATTGATCTTTATGTTGTATTTACTGCATGCTGAGTTTAATCTGTAAATGTGGTCTAGCAGTCTATTTTCTTGAGGGTAGAACAAGCATTGATCGTCCGCAAATAGTAGTTCTTTTAATGTGGGTGGTGTCTATTACTTCGTCTGGTGTTTGTATTTCCTCATGATTATAATGATTTATGTTGTTTGTATTAGAACTTGCTTCTTTAGATATTCTGTCTAAATAAATGTTAAAATAAAAGTGGGGGAGAGCACACATCCCTGTCTCACACCTGTGTTGACTGTGAACATATCTTATACGCCCTTCTTGTGTTCTTACTGTACTTTGGCTTGTGTTGTACAGACTATGATGTTCTCTAGCAATTGTCCTTCTATCCCATAGTTCTCAAGAACAGATCATAGTTTGTTTCCATCCACTCTATCGAAAGCCTTTTCCAGATCCACACACACATATTCTGTTTGGTATTATACTCAATGGCTTCTTCACACACTGACCCCAGTATGAATAATGCTTCTGTGCACCCTCTTCCTTTTCTGAATCCGAATTGTGATGCACTCAACTGTTGTTCAGCTATGGGTCTCACCTTCTTCTTCTTTGCGTTCACCAGCTGTTAACTCTAGTGGAAAGTTCTGGTTGTTCGTCCATCTCTGGACTGCAGTCCTGTTCCAGAACCTGAGTATTGCGTGTGCATCTGTTTGACAGTTCTGACACATTTGTGTGCAAACTGCTGGTTCCTTGCCTCAGGCAGATGCACTCCGACTTTAAAGGAAGCTCCCAATTAGTCGACTTTTATGACATGCTTTTGGGTAGGCAGTGGGTCTGTTCTTGTTTTCCCTCTAACAGGGCCCTGGAACCCACACAGGGGAGCTATGGGACTAACTCTCTGTTTATTAATTTTGAAATAGTTTATTTGTCCGGCTAGCTGTTTGTGATTTATTTTGTTCTTCCTATAGAATGAGACATGAGCCAACCCAGCGAGGAGTGGTTGACTTCGTAGTGAAAGGGTTTATTCCATGTGGCTCAAATGTTCTCCTCAGAATAACTGGGACCTTATGAGATCATCACATAAAGCAAGATGTGATGCTCCAGCAAGAACCCCCAAGGGTCTTTAAAAACAAAAAAAATAATTGCATTCATAAACTGAACAAAAAACTGCCAAAAAAATATATCAAAATAAGCGGCTGGTAAACTGAACAGTGCAATTCAAAATGTATTTAGAACCTTTTGAAGAAGAGGAAAATGTCTTTATCACTTTGCTACAAATAGTTCTGCACCACTTGGTGGTCAACTGATGCATGACAAGCTTGGTGTTATAAAGGTCCTTTAAGAGAGAGTGAACAGTGCCGAGGCACAAACTGACTATTACGGAATGCATGAATAAATGATATTGTTTTTTTTAAAATGTCTTCAGAAAACAAAGAATCAGAATACCAGCAGAAGATTAGCCATCTAAGCCGACTCAGTGGAGTGAAGGTCGATTTGACAAAATACCTGACCTTGGAGTACGACCAGCCTGCACAGGATGAGATCATTGTGACAACAGCCTGATCAAGCCGGCACTGTGAAACTCCACAGATGGACTAGTGATTAGAGATTAGAAAGGAATATCATCACAGCACTCCGGACAGATCCATAGGTGCTCCGATCTCCTCCTCAAAAGCTCCACAAGTGTAACATGACTGATGATGCCTGTTCTGTGTTGGTTAATGAAATGTCTTGTCCTCTTAGTGAAATGTTCATTTCTTGCAGCTCCAGGCTGCACCCCCATGTCCATCAGTCTAGACAGGGATACGGAGTCATGTCCTTTGGCGTGCTGCTTGATATGGGAAGTGCCGATGGTCTACAGATGCACTATGTGGTTGTAACCTGACATATCTTCTTACAGATCACGTAATGCGGATTGGTCATCACATATCTCTACAGCTTTCTGTCATTAACCTTCCTCCATGCTGTTGCCAAACTCAGTTACTGATTTACTGGTTTAACTCTTTCAGTTCCTGGTAGATGTTATTGACACTTGTTCTATCCTAAGAATTTTTAAACAACTAATAAACAGTTTGGTCTGACATAATATAGCACAATGAGATGGGGAACAAGCAGCTGTTCGAACAGTTAAGGATGCAGGGCTTTCATGTGAGTTCAAATCCTTGGTAAGGTTGGGGGGATTTTTTTTCTATCAGGGGCACAAATAAAGTCCTCAGGTCCCAAGACCCCCTGCCTACAACGCAGAAGTGGTGATGCAGGCAGAAATGACAGGTTTTTTTTAAATTTCCTTTTTATTTTGGCAGTGAGTTGGGCAGGTTAACAATATGGTAGAATTAGTTAGTGAAGCAACTGTCTTAAATACACAAAGTAAAGAAAAGTATATTCTGTGAGAGAAAACAACAAATGCAGGATGCGTTACCTGGGACCCACTGAGTTAAGAATCAACATCATAGCACACCAGGCATACCCATTGATGCTCCGCCTCCCGCAGCAGATGTATTCAGGTGTAGATGCTAACTGTTCAGTCTCTTCCTCTCAGATGTCTCCCCTTGCCTGATCCACACATAATTTCTTGTTCACAAATCTTTACACATGTTATTTCATCTACCTTGTGTCTTTTATCAGTATGCCAAACCCAGACATCCAACATTGTGTAGCCCATCTTCTTCTGCCCCTGACTGCAGAATAACGTATACATTAAAAAAAAAATGAGTTATGATTTAGAATCTTTACAGCACTCCTGACACATCCATAGGCTCTCAGATTCCCCTCTCAATATTTTCATCAGCGTCGCGCGGTTTCTAGTGGTTTATATGCTGGTTAACAAGACTTTGTGTGCATTTGGTGTGCTTCTCATGCTTGTTCAATGTGGTACAACTGTATGTACAGCGATGACTTTCTGACCCAGTGTCAATAAAACACCTGACAGAGGACTGAAATCTCAAACTTTCTCAAAAGCGTACTACAGTTCTACCAAAGAAACTGCCCTAGTTAACTCGAGTCCCAAGAAACGCATCATACGTTCATAGGTTGCTACCTAGAAGCCCAATGAACGCATGATGCACCGATTTTATGACTCTTTGTGATGTCCTGTGATGCTAAACCCCCTGGAACTCAAAGAGTTAAAGAATCAAGAACACACAGTCAACAATGTTCAAAATAAGAAATATTTATTATTCTCATTCCACTCATTCTTTCAAGTGAAAAAATATGTGGCAGTTATCTCATCTTGTCACCCATCGCCAACACACAACTAAACGACCAGCATCTAGTTATGGGACTATCTCTGAACACTACAGAAAGATCCCAGTATGGGTTCCAGGACCCCACTGTGGGGAACTAAATAAAAAAAGAATTGACTCACTGCTCCCTAACAACCATCTTGTAAGACTCCACTCTTTGGGGAAAAAGGGGAGGGGGGGTGGAGGGTGGGTGATCTTTTAAAGTTGGAGTGCTTCTGCCTGAGAGATGAGAAACCAACAGTGCACATAAACATAAGCCAGATCTGTAATATGGATGTGCATGCAAAACTCAGGTTCTGACACTGGACAAAAATCCAGAAGTGGATGAACAGTCAGAAGTTTCTGCTACAGTTTACAGTCGGCGAATGGGAAGAAGATGAAGACTACATGAAAAGCTTATGATCTTACACTCACATAACACCAGGCAACTCAGCATTCCACAGCTCGGCTACAAGAATCCATCACATTGCAATGGCTGCTGCACAAGGCACATACTGACACAAGAAAAACAGACTGAATAAAACAAAAATTAAAGTGAGAGCAGAAGTCTCTACTAGTTCTGTCATATCGTGAACATTCTCTAATCTTCTTCTTCTTCTTTCCTTTACTCCTGGAATGCCTCACGGCATCATGGCAGGAAGAGATCTCTGGAACGGGCCCTTCTGTTCCCTTTGTATAAAGTACTTTTCAGTGTCTCTGATATTTTTGCGGTCCATTTTCTGTGCGGTGAACCTCTGGCTCTGTTACCGCTGTTCTCTAATCATTACAATAATGTCCAGATATCATGCGGATGAAATAACAATCAAATAAAAGGCAGCATATCATGAACAGTATAGGCAGTTCTTCAAACACGAATTCCATTTACAGGGCCCCCTTGACTTAGGACTTAGTTCTGTTCCAGTTAAAAAGGTCATAAGTTGAACTGGTCGTAAGTTGAAATGGTTATAAGTTGAATTTATATTTGTCAAAACTACTTTAATTCAAATTGAATTTCCAGACAGTCTGCCATAGGCGATAGGGTCAAACAGATATCTGATGTCCACATCCTGCAGTATTCTGGGCATCAGTTCTGGGAGTACTTTGATCCTATCAGTCTTGTCTTGTCTTGTCCACAATTGCCTCCCAGTGTAGTGGGGAGTCGCAGTTTTCTATCCTGGGCCAGGTGTGTTGCACGTGTTGTTGTTAGTCCGTGTTGCCTCAGGATCTCTGATATATTGTCTATCCATCGTACTCTCGGTCTGCCTCTTGCTCTAGGGCAGTAGTGCTGTTCGTTGTATGCTCGTAGAGGCAGTTGGTCGGTTTGCATTCGCATCAAATGGCCAAACCACTCTATTTGTTGCTTCTTTATGTATTGCAGACATGGTGTGGTTCCTATCAGTGAAGTAGTTATTTTCTTTATTTACTTTTTTTATTTATTTACTGTTTGCGGTTGTAAGTGCGAATAGTGAACATCGAGGCAAAGGTGTACAATAGAATTACAAGTGTCCACCTAGAGAAGCGAGTCTCTTGAGACCATTAAAGCTTTTATAAAACAAACATATTTTAAAGTAACATAGAAAACTTAATTGAAATAATACATGCAAGCGAAAAAAAAAATACAGCATGAACATAATATATTTTGCAGGAAGAACATGATAAACATATGGATTTTTATTTCTAAGCATTCAGGTCGACAATAGAAAACATACAATTGTGGTTGAAACATTACCAAATGAGGTCTAATCTAAGGCAGTCTGTAGTCATGACCTTGAATACAACCCCAAGACCTCTCCGCAGATGTGAAGTTTATTCACAGCTGCACTATTTGTTTCACGAGTACTATTTTTCATGGAGACCCCTGAGGATTGTTGCTGGAGCTAAGATGTTCATGATTTGTGTGACACGCTCGGCAGGCGGAGAGAGACAGCCAAATGGGATGAAACCTCATGCAATAAGTCGATTCTCTCAACTTTAACCTTTGGATATGAAGTTCTAATCAGTCTTGTATACACCTCACTGTTTTTTTTTTTCTGGCTCAGAGAAGGAAAAGTAGAGCTCTATAAAACAATCTTCACTGATAAAGTACTTCAGTACTGGGCTGGTAGGAAAATCTCTAACGTCACTCTGATAGGTGTCCGCTCAAACTTGTCAACCAAGTGACACTTTTTAAAGCCATGTTGTCAAATTCTCCATTAGCCTCAGTGATAGAGGTCACAGAGGCGTGACATTAGTAATTCGATACAAATTTTTTTCAGCCCTGGCATATGTATTCCATTTATATTTTACTTCACGTTTACTGATTGCTTCTTTTATATATCTTCATTTATTCCCCCCCCCCCCCCCCAATAATTAAACAGTTGGAAAAATTTATTACTGACCTGTTTACAATGTTTTTTTGTGTGTTTATTTTGTTTTTAAAGGATTTGTTTAGAAATTTCAATGGAGTATGACCCAATCTTTCAACATTCTTACGATAGAAGGGTTAGTAGCAGTAAGTAGACATTCAAAATTCTCACAAAAGAATCTTCACCACGCATGCATTCATTCAAGCTGGTCAGTATTTCTTATGGGGCTTTCTTTATTATAGATTTCCCTGTCTGGGTTCCGGGGCTCTATTCTAGGGGAAAACGAACAGACCCACTGCCTACCCAAAAGCATGTAGTAAAAGTTCACTAATTTAGGAGCTTCCTTTGAAGGAATGAATCTGCCTGAGAGGCTAGGAACCAGCAGTCTGCATACAAATGTGTCAGATCTGTAAAACGTATGTACATGCAACACTCAGGTTCTGGAACAGTGGATAAACAACCAGAACAGTTTACAGCTGGTGAACGCAAAGAAGAAGATTATATATTATATACATTCTCATTCATCAGATTTAAAAAAATCAGTAAGGAGATAAGCTGAGAACCGATATTTCAGCACTTGTGACACTCCCATAAACATTCTGTCCCTATCTTCAACAGCCAGCAAACAGTTCCAGTTCCGATAGTACCAGTAGCGGTTTGGCTGTATGTCATTCTTGCCTTTCCTCTGAGTGTTGAGTGTCTGCCAGACCCCCTAGTCACTTCTTCTGCACTATTCTCTCCTCAATTAAATGTTCTATTTGCACTTCTGTAGTGCTCACTTGAATCAATGCTGGCTTCAGAATCAGCTGTGCTCGCATGCAGTGATTATAACTGACTCACAGAGTATGCTGAGAAAGGTGGAGACAGGCAGGCTCTGTGCAGAGCGGCAAACATCACTTCAGAAGTCCCGGGTAGTTAGCATCCTTTGGAAATTTTCTCCACATATGCCAGTGTGTTGGAGAATGAGCAGGCAGATCACACTGGCCAGTTCTGCACC